AGATGGCGCTATGTGAATTATCTTGAGATATTTTTTATTATATATAATTCTTATATATATATTTTTATATAATTTTAGACAGAGACAAGATCCACAGGATGGGCAAATTTCCCTACGTCATGTAGGTACGAGTTAGTACGTATATATATTGTACACTTTAGTAATTTAATAACATAAAAAATAGAATTTTAGACTTTAACGTTTTAGCATTAAAGTAGATTTCATATTTTTTTTCGTTTCTTAATGCATTTTATTATACTTGGGTATTGTTTTAAAATAAATAAATAAATAAATAAAAATTTATTTAAATAACAGTTATATTTCATGACTTAATATGAACCTATGCAGTTTTATTTTTAATCAAATGAGCATATTTCGGAATTATAAAGAAATGTAAGTAACAAATTAATTAAAATTATTAAAAGTCAAAGAGACAGTATTAATCTTCACTACATAGTAAAAAATAAAGTCGCTGTCGCTGTCTGTCCGTCTCTATGTATGCTTAAATCTTTAAAACTACGTAACGGATTTTGAAGCGGTTTTTTAGTAGATAGAGTGATTGAAGAGGAAGTGTTATATATATAATACATGTATACCCGTGCGAAGCCAGGGCGAGTAGCTAATATCATTTTTTGTTCAAATACATATAGTGTTACATTCAACACAATATGATTGGTTGCCTATACCATAATTTCATATGGGGTAGTCAGAGAGGTGACTCTATGAAACCCTATGATATTATGGTATTGAAGGTACAATTATAATAAATATTTACATAAGCTCATTATACATACATAAAATGAACTATCCCATTGAACAAATCTCTTCAAGTTACCTCAAAAGCAATTTCCACCGCATGTTTCTACTAAAGTGGCAAGGAAGGGTGTCACACCCAAAAAATGGCCACGTAAAGTGTTTTTTACGGCTTTAATACGAGTTTATTAAAATATTTAAAGCGTAACTTTAGTCTGAATTTCCCTAAAGACTACCCAGAAGGTCCCCAGCCCTCCGATATGTATCCTCTGCCACAACTGTAAAGTCAATAGAACAGTCATTTAGTTTTTATTTATCTACTAGCTGCATCCGCGACTTAGTCCGCGAGGAATTTAACATTATTCTTCTAAAATAAAAGTAGCCTAAGTTACTCCTTATTACATCAGGTACCTGCCAATAAAAGTCTCATCAATATTGGTCCAGCCATTTCAGAAATTAGCCGGAACAAACAGATAGACAAAAATTGTAATGTTATTTTGATGTATGTACCGTATTTATATTCATATGCATGTAGTAAAAAACGGTTATTTCAATATTACAAACAGACACTCCAATTTTATTTATATGTATAGATATACTAGTATTACAAGGCGGATATACTTATTTCGTCGTTTGTTTGCAACAAAGAAATAGGCTACTAGAAAACTACTATATTCATTTTAAATTATCTTACAATTAGAATCCTACATTATCTTGTCTTGTTTATTTAACATATAACATACACAAAATAATGTAGGATTTCTTATATCTTGAATCGTTCTGTCTTAAGACATAATGCAAAAATATCTTGCCACCGCGATGTAGAAATTGAACATGTTTTACACAGCGACATCTAGTTAACTGCTCGGAACTATTCTGTACTACAATTAATAATTAGCTGAAACAGTTATATTATTATGATTAGGGTTGGATTTATAATTCTCATCTGGTTGAGTGCTAATATAGCTCAGTTAAATTAGTACAATACTGGTTGCCCCCTGGACGCGGCTGACCTATTTTTGATAATCAAACAACAAACCAAAATAATAGGAAAAATCAATCATTAAAATAATAATATTCAAACTTTGTTCACATGCTTTTGTAAATACTATTCATAGAAAACACCCAGACCAATAGAAACACTCTATTTCGCATTGTGCGAGGAATCGAACATGTGATCAACAGATAAAGCGATGTGCGAAACCGCTAGACGGCCATGGTCGTTAGAATCAGCGCAGACAAGGCATAGAACATACTCCAAGTGGCCTTTCCACCGTTGAAATATTTTGCGTATACCATTTACAGGGTGATAAATTAAAATGGGCGAATGAACGACTCCAACACGTTAGGATAATGAGCTAGATTTTTTTTCACTTTAATCACAAAAGTACATCCTGTTTGCCCATCAAGTGTTTAATTAAATTAAAAACTTTGGACATTTGTGTCCGGTAATGACGTAATTGCTGTTCTCGGTGTAAGGTGGTTTGGATCTCTTACCCCTTTTTGAGGGTTAATTGGGGATGCTAGTGAAATATTAAGGGGTTTTTAAAACTTTGGCCGCTTTTAGGATACTCAAAGGCAATGTTTGCGGGGAATGTGAATATTTTATACATTAAACTGGCCTGTGTCCGCGATATTTTTTGCGGCGAGCTTGTATTTTCTTGCAGAAATGAAATATTTTACTGCAACATGTATATTTTGTGGTATACATGTTATTACATTATAATTTATGATTTATGAATCACGCCCTTCACCAGAATCTGGCATGCAAAATTAGTAATGTCCAGAGTTTACTAATAACAAATCATTTGCATAATAATATATATTATAATAGTATATATGCCGCGGCTTCCTTTGCATTTTCATTGATATTTAAATTTTGGGCGAAATAATTGGGTTACTTCATGAAACAAATAAATATTTGAAATATACATCAATAGTAAAAATATTTTTGTATGAGCCATCTTTTTTACTGAAGAATCGTTCGACATGATGAGGAACTTCTTGCCGCGTACACTTAGACTGTGGAATGAACTACCTGCCGAGGTTTTGCTCGAGAGACTACAGCCTGCGGATTTTCAAGGAGGGTATAATAAGGTTTTCAGGATTGGCAACATGCACGTGATGACGTCGTCAGACGTTCATAGGTTATGGTAACTGTTTACCATAGAATGGTCCGTATGCTTGTTTACCATCTGTTGTTGCTGACTGTTTTCCTTTGAGCAATTTCAAGATCAAATCTGTGCTTGTTTACCACCATAGTAGTATATAAAAATCTTTTTGATTGTTTTTGGAGCACATTAAAATATAGTGTGAAAACACTTTATCTCTCAACTTATTGTAATTTTTAATGTCGTAACAATATGTATTTAAGTTATACAAGATAAATTATACTATGATCTATCAGATAACAAAATTATTGAAGGCTATTGGAAAAAAAGTAGGTAACTACTGACTTTAAAGAAGTCACTTCAAATTCAAGACCGATTGCCAAAACATTTGATGATATACTTTGCATAAATGCTGCGAAATCTGTTATACACGCTCAATTAATTATGCGTATCTCATTATAGTAGGCTCGAAGTTTAGTAGATTTGCTAAAAGTAAGTTATGAAACGGTTTGTTAATGAATTATGTTTGACATTGAGACAGTTTTACACCCACGAATTTGTGATGAGATGTTGCGACATATACCGTTCGAGGCATCGCTGTCATTTAAACAGGTTATATGATTTCCCCATGTTAAATACTAGTTAAGCCTGTGACTTTGTATGCTTATAACTTTTTTGCTTGATAACCGATTGAGTTTATAATTATTTTATTATTTTTTTAGCAATATAATTATGTTTATCAAAATATTTTTGAATAATTATTTTTATATACTAAAATTAAAAAAAAATCTTTTCATCAAGCATAAATCAAACGTAAAATCTTAGCATATATATCTAAATTATATAAAAAATTCTATAGTCACACTATACAATTTTTTCATTATAAGAGATAAAAAAATTGTATGGGCACAATATATTTTAACACAGCATCCAAACAGCTTCTGAGATTAGTGCGCAGAATGTACAAGAGACAATAATCTATTCTATTTTGGTTCTATGTTTTAATAAGGTCCCCGAAAAAAATTCTCCCAATATTTTATAGACAGACAGTGAACAGTTGCTATTATACTATATGTGTAGATGATCATGTATTCATCATTTATAGTCAATATTACGATGTTGTAAGAGACGGCCAATAGAGTAAATCAAATCAATAAAAGTAAATATCACATAAACTTCAATGTTATAAAACATATTTTGTTTTATAAAATTACTACAATTGTGAAATATTCATATTTTGATATAGAGTCACATATCCAGTGAAATGTGACAGTTTTATTCTGAACGAAAAGAAATTTAATTAATTCGCAAATTGCACATAGTTAACTGAAATATTTCAATTTATGTATGAGTTCCAATTATTTCCTTTATTCAAATTAATGACCTATGTATTGTAAAATGTATATTTTTGTTATTTATATTTAAATATCTAACTTTAAATTGTAATGACTTCAAAACTACTGAATCAGTTTCGATATTAAAAATTCAATGTGCATAAAAAGAAAACAATAAAAGAGTATATTTAGAAAATATGTATGTTTATTTATAAAATATGTACAAAAATAAATCATAAATAAGTCACAGTATACATTTCAGATTACAAAAAAGTTGTGCTGTGTACAATATGTTTCTTTTCTGCTATGAATTACTTTTTTGCTCAGAATAAATAGATACACTTTACTGAGAAACAATATTAATTTCTCATATGTTTCTTAATACAAGTTTAAAAATTATTTCCTTCGTTTTACTACAATATATTTTCAATATTAGATTAATGCAAAAAATTAAGAAAACTTGAAAATATACCGTAAGAAAAGCAAAAAAAAGTAGGCTGCATATTCTTTAAAAAGCTACCAATATTATGATGTACTCATATTTTGATAATTTCCAAAGTGAAATGTGTCAAGTTTATTCCAAACAAAAAAGTGAACCAATGCGCAAATTATTCACGTATTAAAGTACACGAGGCATGTTGTACATTTACTCCACCAAAATAGATCATCTATTTTGGCGGACAAAAGAGTTACTCGACGTATTCCAAAGCATAACTATTATGTAAACTTAAAAGTACTACAGGGACTAGTGCTATATCTACATATGCATGCATTCTTTGACTAGATTTGAGCACTTAACAGATTACCACAATCCGTTACCACCAAGGGTACCGACGGAACCGATGCCGTAGGGAGCAATCGCAGGCGCAGCCAAGCTAGGTCCAGCCACCACATTCTTGACTGTGATTACTTGGGGTACATTGACAACCTTACGGAGTTGCACGACCTGGGGTACGTTGATGACTCTTGGGACGTTGACGAGCCTGTTGACAGCAACCACGCTGGGTGCTGATACCACGGGAGCGGACAATAATGGAGCGGAGGCTAATGGAGCGGATGCTATTGGGGCCGATAATAGTGGGGAGGACGGTATTGCGGAGGTCAACAATTGGGGGGATGCAATAGGAGAGGACAGCACTGGAGCGGATGCTACTGGGGCTGACAATACGCGAGCAGGCGCGGACAATAATGGGGCAGGCGCTAATGGAGCTGACAACAATGGGGCGGATGCTAATGGAGATGACAATAACGGGGCGGATGCTACTGGGGAGGACAATAATGGAGCGGGAGCAAGTTGAGAGGACAACAATGGAGCGGGAGCAAGTTGGGGAGACAGTAATGGGGCGGACGCAATTGGGGAGGATAGTACTGGTGAGGATACAAGTGGTGCAGAGGAGACTAAAGGCGCTGAGTAGCCGATTCCGCTGTTAATTGAGCTTAGTCCTATCCCACCGTAGCTGCTGATGCCAACGCCGCTGTATCCGAGCAAGCCACGCTTCTCGCGGTTGTCGCGGTTCTCTCCGGCAGATGCCACTGCCACCAGCGCGCAAATAGCCACCTGCAATAGAGATGTGAATAACAAGTTAATAACAAAAACAATGAACAATAAATATGGAACAATACAAAATATCATCTACGTGAGTCAGTAGTAGATAGTCTATTTTATCAATTTCTGTAGCCCGGCGGTATACTCCAGGCTTCAAGTTAAAGAGTGAGATATGGCAGTGAAATTATAGGGTATGCAGTATTTTAGTCCTCAAGAAAGGTTGAAACACTGTTGGAAATATGTCAATACAATGTTTAGGAAAATGTAATGTAAATTTTATTAAGGAGTATGGTGATGAATCACATTACTGTATTTTGCATTATTATAGAAGATCCACAAAATCGATACATTTTCCCATAATTAGTAATAGTAAACTATAAATAACAGTATATTGTTACAATATTGTGTGATTAATGGTTCTAATATCAACAAAAATGGTTGATAGATTGAAAAGTAATAATATATTTAAGATGATTAATTGAAGTTCATTGAAATGTAAATAAATACAAACTAAATATAATTAAAAACACTCCAAAGGAATGTTTTGGCATGAATTTAATGTTAGTTCATAAATGTCCAAAAATAATTATTACATTTGTTATAATTAGACACTTTTGTGACAATTTTTCTAATGATATAACCATCATACAAATAATTATTAAAATATATGTATATTAAAATATGTAAAGTAGTTAGTTTTTTTTTTATACTTACAAATATTTTCATTTTGTTTGTTGTGTCGTTTGAACTCGGGGGAATGAGATGATGTGTGATGCTGTGGAATCCTCCCCGTATCATTTATACTAGTGTTGTGCGAAATATTACACAAGTATCCTTGGCAGTTAACATAGTCGCTGCGCCTGCTTTGCTCGCATTTCAACTCTATGGTAATTAAATATACATATAAAGTGAATTAACATCAATATGTAACTATTTCGATAATTTCATCATATTCCGGATTCTTGTGTGGTTGTCACATCTTTTGATTTCAAAAGGCAGAGTTTGTTCATTGCAGTCCTTTAAGTACATCTTTTTCACCTATATCAAGCGCCAAGTGTTACTAACTTTATCTTCTGGACTGAAACGCAAGTCACATGGTTACATGATGTCTATGATGTTCATGTACTAGCATATACGCGACGGTTTTTTTTAATTGATGATATAGAATGGTGCACCCGCCTGCGCTAACGGATTACACTGGCGGGGCACCAGTGGAGGATGATAAGATGAACATGAGGTCAGGTCAGTTGGCCAGTTGGTCAACACGGTGGTTTCCAGGGGAACCACATGGAGGACAAATTCAAATCCAAAAATAATAATTTATTATATAAAATTGTAATATAAAAATTTCATATGTTCATAGGAACATATGAAATTTTTATATTACATTTTTTTCCCTATCGTCCAGTTTAGTAATCAGATTCAATTGAGAACTGGTAACCTGACATGGTGTATTGCTAGCAAAGGGGTCAGCTACCTACATTACTAATGATCCCTTTACCACCTATAGGTGATGGTTACCACACACCATCAAGAGCACCGTCAGTTTGTTTGCAATTCTAGTAATACTAGGGATCGTCCAATAGTCAAATTTCGGCCATAATTATTTAAATTACAAGTATGAATACTATTAAGGTTCTATTGACAAAGACTATACATCTATGCGTGTTTGTGTCAAATATAATACATAGTAGTATGTGTAATGTTTTTTTTTAATTAGTTAATATATTTCTTTCACTTCATTAAAAAAAATAGCTATCTGTACTCCTCTATATGAACTGTAAGTGTGCGAAATTATATACTCCTTCGTCCGTGCAATTCTATTAAAAATTGGTACAAAGTTTTTGTTTTACGTAATAATATACAGATATTCCTGATATACAAGCGTCCTTTATTAGTAAATAAATTATAATAATAATGATCTCAGGACAATTCATACAGCATCTAGATCCAATTATGCTACCTAAAGCTTGTATTATGGGTGCTAGGTTGATACAAATACATATTTCGTAAATACATACATATTATACATAGAAAACACCCAGACCGATACAAATAATCATACTCATGAATACAAATGTTTGTGCCGTGCGAGGACTCGAACCCGCGACCATCGGAAGTAAGGCGTTGTGCTAAACTAGACCACTGAGACCGTTAAAATGAACGAATCAAAAATCAAATCAAATTTGCGATGCTTGTCGTTTCCTACCTATTACCTATATATATACGTTTTTCCGTCTGTTACCCAGGAACAATTGATTTCAAATTGCATTCACGTGAAATTGCCTCGGAGTGCAAAATGGACTATTAACACCAGCACCCTCGCTCGGTTTTGTCTGCGTTTGAAGTTTGCAAGCCTTTGATTTAATATGTCTCGCTTAGCAGGAGGTAGTACCTATTTGGAATATATTTCTAACTAGCTTTTGCCAGCGGCTTCGCTCGCGTTAATTTCTTCCCTTAGGGGTGGAATTTATCAAAATCCTTCTTTGCATGCATAAATCTACTACATAGATTTATGCATGCAAAGTCTCAGCCAGATCGGTTTAAAATTGACAAAGTTTCAATACAAACTTTCATCCCCTATTTTGTCCCCTTGGAGGTAGAATTAATCAAAATCCTTTCTTAGCGGATACCTATGTCATAAAATCTATCTGAATGCCAAATTTCAGCCCGATCCGTGTAGTGGTTTGGGCTGTGCGTTGATAGATCACTATGTCAGTCTCCTTTGAGTTATATATTTAGATATACATTTCAATTTAGTAACTCACTGTATTTATAATTATAGTAATTTCGCAGCCTCGCTGGTCTAGCGGTATGCAAGACACTTTACTCCCGATGGTCGCGGGTTCGATTTTCTCACGGTGCAAACAATTGTATTCATGAGTATGACTGTTTGTATCAGTCTGGTTCTTTTCTATGTATATTTTGTACGTATTTACAAAAATATATCTAAGTACTGATATCAGTTTTCTAGTACCCATAACACAAGTTCTACTTACCCTGGGACTAAATGGCGCTGTGTTTATTGTCCAGGGGTTATTTATTATTATTATTAATTTATACAGCGCTATCTAGTCCTAAGCTAAATAGAGGTTGTATTATGTATACTAGACTACTGATAGATGTACATAAATATATATTTACTAGCTGTCCCGGCAAACGTTGTGTTGCCTTAAATTAAAAAAAAAATTTAGGGGTGGACTACCCCTAACATTTAGGGGGATGAAAAATAGATGTTGGCCGATTCTCAGACCTACTAAATACGCTCACAAAATTTCATGAGAATCGGTCAAGCCGTTTCGGAGGAGTATGGGAACGAAAACTGTGACACGAGAATTTTATATACAAGATAAATAAATACATACATAATATACAAAACTCCCAAACTAATATAAACAATCCTACACACGAATACAAATGTTTGTACCGTGCAAGGAATCGAACCCGCAACTTTCGATAGTAAGGCAGTGTGCGCAACTGCTAGACCACCGAATCATCAAGTATAAGTTACTGGCTGTAGTTGACATATTTTTTTTATGTTATTGGAAACGTAATGGCTTTATCATTGGGATAAAAAAAACCTTCCTGTGTACTAATTTTCCCAACATTGCAAATTTTCATTTTTATGCTTTGTTCGGATCCACAGAGGTTGTTTTGGCTGAAGCCATTGTGGTTGCGGCATGCAGTACGGTTCGTTTTTAGTTCTTACAACCATACTCTTCCAGTTCTATGTAGATACTCGTATATTGCTTTAATAGTGTTGTTAAATAACAATATCGATTATTGATATTTCAACAGGGCTATTTTAGATTCATAATTTACATTCACCTTGATGACCTCGACGGCCTAGCGGTTTAGCACACCGCTTTACTTCCGATGGGCGCGGGTCGATTCTTCGCACGGTGTAAATGTTTGTATTCATGTGTATGACTGTTTGTATCGTGGTCCTGGTGTTTTCTATGTATAATATTATGTATATGAAACCTAGCACCCATAACACAAGCTTTAGGTAGCTTAACTTGGATCTAGACGACGCTGTGTGAATTGTCCTGAGATCATTATTAATATTTATTTACTAATAATGGACGCTTGTATATCAGGAATATCTGTATATTATTACGTAAAACAAAAACTTTGTAAAAAAATAAACATCTAAGTATTTATATCAGTTGTCTAGCACCCACTACACAAGCTCTGCCTACTGTGGGACTAGATGGCGCTGTGTTAATTGACCAGAGTTATTATTTATCGATCAATATAATGAAGTTTTCGTTTGAGGCTTCAACAAAACCTTTTTAATGTCATAATATTTACAGAAATAGAAATAGTTTTTATTCAAATAAACTTAATATAAACACTTTCAAATAGTAATATTTTTTACAAGATGATTACAAGTGATGTATATAAGATGTATAGATAGGGAATTTATTATAATAATATTACAATACAAGGATTTGGTGCCGAATAACAAGCTTGTTATTTTTTCTCCCAGCATCGAAACTAAGTAATCCGTTATCGCGCGATGTAGCTAAATTCGCCATATTTAATTTAAATTAAATCGATTAGATTTAATTTATATCGATATCGATACTCGAATGTCATTGACATCACTACGTATTCGTGCAGTGAGTGATTGCAAGCAAAGTTCAAAAACAATGCCCTCCGAGTACCGAGCCGATCCCGACTGAGATGAACCACAGTTCTGTACATTAGAGTGGCACTCTAGCTGCATATTGTATAGGCACAGAATCAATACTTACCGCTCACTGAACTATATATTTAGGTACATTGTTGGTTGGAAGAATATTGCTGTGTAATATATATATGATTATCTTATTAATAATAAAAACGTGAAAGTTTATGAGTAAGTGTGGATGGATGGATGAAAGCTTATTACTATTTCGAGGAAAACTTTTAAACGGATTTTGATGAAGCTTTACAGTAATATAACTTATACATCAGGATAACAGATAAAGCAAAAAATTCATGCGGGTTAAACCACGGGTACAACTAGTAATATCATTACATGGTATAAAATAAAGTCGCTGTCGCTATCTGTCCGTCCCTATGTATGCTTAAATCTTTAAAACTACGCAACGGATTTTGCATTTTTTTTAATAGGAAGGTATATATATATAATACATATACACTCGGGCGACGTCTGGGCGAGTAGCTAGTGTATAAACATATATATATATATATATATATAGTACTAGCTGTGCCTCCGTCTTCGTCCAAAACGACAAAATTAAAGTTTCAAGCTTCAAAAATTACGATACTTCCATACAATCTTTCATTTCCCCTTTAAGTGAAATTCTTTAAACTTTCAAGTAATAGATTGATTGTACACTCGTTCGCTGAAACTGTAAGGTCAGCTGCGGCCATTAGAATACAGTGGACCCGCGGTAATCCGGCCCCTGTCTAATCCGGCCCCCCTTGTAATCCGACATTGTCTATTATTTGTTATTGAATATTACTTTGACAATATACTTCAGAGTGCATATACATACATACATATATAACATAGAATCTTATCACTGGATCTGTAATTTGTCGGATTACAAGATACTCTTTTATAAAAAATTCCGGACTATAAGCAGAGGACCCTTAAGCAGCACTCTATAATCCAACAAATACGATGGTCCGACACTGCCCTGCAAAACGTTTGTCGGATAACCCGGGATCCACATATATAATATAAAGAATCATCATTGGATCTATAATTT